AATGCAAATGAGCTGGTTCTCGCTGCCCACCATTCACATGTGCATGTCTTCTTTCCTGCTGTGTCACATCAGCACAAGAGACAGCAATGAAACAGATATTCAGTTCAGAGTCAAAATACCAAGTAAGGTTACTTGATGTATTTATTGTGGAGTTTATTCAAGCCTTTCTGCAACAATGATGCACTCACAAATGTGATTATGAAGTTTGCAGTGAACACACCTACTTTGCACTTTTATACGACAGGATAAAAGTTTACAAACACTGCTATATTCATTATGCTACTACACAAAATAAACAAGATTTAACGTCTACAAACTGGGACGTTTTTGAAACATCCTCAGATGCAGCGGTGGTAATTCCAGCGATTATGAATTACACAGCGAATTTACTTTCTTTTCATTGCTGACAGAAAGTTGCATGTCACAATAATAAACATATTTTTGGCCATGAACTTTAACGGGAATTTTGCAAGTTTAAATCAAGAATTCTCAGTTATGATTTTTCTCCTGGCTACAGTCTAATGTTTTCAGCATTGCAGCTTTTTTCAAGCAAAACTTTCCTTTTGTGAAGGTAAGAACCAGACTCCTGCTGTCATTCAAAGGATTTGCTCCTTGATAAATAACAAAAGCGTACCTTGACCCCAATGACCCTGCTGTGGTAGACCAGGCATGACTTGTACTGAGCGAGATAGGATTTGCCATCTCAATAGCGAGGTCAGTGATGTGATGAGCTGTCTGGGTTCTTGGGTTCATCTATGGCTGAAGGCGAGACATGGGTGTTTGTGTTAGGAAGCATTTGCTATTTTTAAAGCAAGAAAAAGTGTGCACTGTGGTGTGCGATGATGCTTCAAAAAATATTTTGTAACCTCATATTATCTTAAAAATATTTGTAGTTTTAAAACTATTTTACACCTACACTAAAATATATGACTCAATGCAAAAAAAGATTTCAGTCATTTTTTTTTTTTGGCTTAGTCCCTGATTTATCAGGGGTCACCACAGCAGAATGAATTGCCAACTAATTTTATGCAGCGGATACCCTTCTGGCTGCAACCCAGTATTGGCGACGACCACGGCGAATGAAGCTCTGCACAAGACTTTTGGCCAGCGGAGAAATTAAAATGGTCGTGCCCAACTGAGTCTGGTTCTCTCAAGGTTTTTTTTCTTCACTCCCATCAGGTGAAGTTTTTTTTTCCCTCTCCGCTGTCGCCACTGCCTCGCATGGTTCAGGATTGGTAGAGCTACGCATCTATGAATTTGCTCTTCAGTGTTTGAACTCTCAGTAATGATTAAATCACACTGAACTGAGCTGATCTGAACTGAACTGAACTTAAACACTAAAACCTGAACCACACTGTTCCAGTTACTATGACCATTTATGTGAAGCTGCTTTGACACAATCTACATTGTAAAAGCGCTATACAAATAAAGCTGAATTGAATTGAATATTGGGAAACATCATTACATTCTTGCATTCACACATGCACTCATAAACTACGGCCAATTTTAGTTCATTCAATTTACCTACGGCATGTCTTTGGACTGTGGGGGAACCCAGACAACCCGGAGGAAACCCACACAAACACATAATTTTTTAATTGTTCATATTAGAAATCAAGTAATAGTTTGAAGACATCTCCCATGCAGTTATAATAAATAGTTTTTAATGTTAGTTTATAGAAAACATTCAAGCTTAAAAACCGATGTGAAACCATAACCTTACCCAGAACATTTTTAAAAACTATTTATACAATCAGATGTTTACAGTTCTAAATGATTATTTAACTAATTTGGCTGAACAGGTTTCTAGACATGACTTAACAAAATTTGGCGTACAGCACACAAGTAACTTTTGAGGCATTATTGTTGATTAATACTTTAATATCCTAAGATTATTGTGTTTTAGAATACTCTAGAGTAACACAAGCAACTAATGGCAAAGCTTTCATTTTATTATCACTATTAGGAATGTGAAAGACCAGGTATCCCAATTGTTTCTATTTCCTCTTAGCATTCTTTCATAAGACAGCTACAAATAAACACAAGAAACGGTATGTCACAGATAAGTTAAATGGTCACTTTCTCGAGCATGCCAAAAGACACATTGTGAAATATGCATGAGAGTGATTTATGTGTGGGTTTAAGCTTGGTCATAGTGAAACGGTTAATTTCAGTTTCAAACAGCAGACATCTGGAGGAGACAGGAAGCAGAGAGGATAACGTCTATAGTGTTCTTTTGTAAGTGGAAGGTGTGATAGGGATCACTGACAACTTCTTTCACTTCTGATAAGGCACTCACTTCCGTGTTTCACTGGACAGTCAGCTTTAATAAATTAACAAAATTATTAAAACAGATTGCATAGAGTGCCTTGTTCATGCCCTGTTTTCATCTCTTTTTCTGATGAGCTGTCAATGTGTTCAAATAGTAATTAAATGTTCTGCATATAAGACAAAAAAGTTTCATTATATAATGATTGAGAAGCATTAAGATTTCATACAAGAAATAGCCTATAGGCTACAAAAGATTTTATTATTTTTTATTACTTTTTTTCTGAAAGAAAGATATAGAACAAGGACTAATTGAAAGAGACCATGAGAAAGAGAAAGAAAAAACAAACTAGTCTATTGTCAGCTGTTGTCATGGGTGGAGACTCACCTGTCCGGTCTGTCCAGAAGCGGTTTTGACTAAACAAATATTTCCAAAAATATGTTGAATTGCAATTTAAAGGGACCTCTAAACCCGAATTAACCTTATCATATTAGTAGGCTTTACCTCATTTACAAAAATTTTACAACAATGATTTTTTTTTACTTTTCTGACTTTTTTTTTTTTTTGCTCCGATATATTATTACTCTAGGGCAGTGGTTCTCAAAGTGAGGGTTGGGACCCCCTGGGGGGTTGCTAGACAACGAGAAGGGGGGGGGGGGGGGTCGCTTGGTGATACTTGGTCGCTGTCATATTTTATCCATAACCTGCAGAATAAAAAAAATAGTTTTAACTTATAATAAATTTAATATATACTTAATATTTAAGATACATTAAAAAGAACATGGAAATAAAAAGTCATCAGCCTTTCAAATTAATTTTTTTCAATTGGACTGCGACTCCTGAGGTTATTATGCTAACATCACAGCAATAGTCGTAACAGATTGATTTTACGGTACAATGTTAAACTTTGACACCTTTACGGCACTCACATGCATTAAAAATAAAGGCCACTCCTGAACAAGAGGACAATTTCCAAGTGGCTCCAAGTCTTCAAATATAAACCAAGAATAGTCTTGTGCTGTAAACATTGTTCTCACCATTCTCATTAAGTAATATTAGTATTAGATTAAACAAATGAATAATGATGATAAAAAAATAGACTGTTGCACTTTTTGTGTCGTCAATAAGCTTGTTTTTATAGTTCCTATTGGTGTGTGTGCACCATTGTGTGCAATCTTTGTATGCTTATAACCACGTCCGAGCAAAGAGGGGGTTGCAAGTCAGTAGTGTTGTTATTTTATGGGTAGCAGGTTGAAAAGTTTTAACCCCTGCTCTAGGGCGTCACGGTGGCGCCTCACAGCAAGATGGTCGCTTGTTCGAGTCCCGACTGGGTTAGTTGGCATTTCTGTGTGAAGCTTGCATGTTCTCCCTATGTTCGCGTGGTTTTCCTCTGGGTGCTTCTATTTCCCCCACATTTCAAAGACATGCTGTATAGGTGAATTGAATAAGTTAAATTGGCTGTAGAGTATGTGTGTGAATGCAAGAGTGTGTGGGTGCTTCCCAGAGTTGGGTTGTGACTTGAAGGGCATTCGCTGTGTAGAACATATGCTGGACAAGTTGTCGGTTCATTCCACTGTGGCGACCCCTTATTAAAAAAGCGACTGAGCCAAAATCGAATGAATGCATGAATAAATTTAATTACTTTAGGTAGCTTATATGCTACTATTTCTACAAAAGGCTTTTGGTGCTGCTTGCAACAGTTAGTGTAAATGAATCAGTATGTTTGGTTGAATGTAGGCTAACCATTTTGGTCCTAACAGCTCTGGAATAAATTATTTACAAACTTACAGCTTAATTATTAGTTGCTTTAAGTGGAATAAAATTAACCAATTAGTAATAAATCGCAGTATTAAAGCTCACAAAACGACTCATTTGCAAGTAGAATGGAATCAATTCAAATTACTCTGGCACTTTTGGTGATGAAAAATAGTCTCTTCCTGATTCCGTTTCATGGCGCCATATTAACACGCAACGCGTGTTGCACCGCCCGCCATTTCAGTATCTCTGAACTTATATTGTTGATAGCCATTTACATCATTCATATAGGCTAGTCTTAGCCTTACGGACGTAGGCGCCGTGTGCGTTCAACAGTAAAAACGCCTTCTAATTTGACCACTGTGTAGATATTTAAATATGTAAAACTGCAATGGTAAACTATTTAATAATTAAATTTTAATGTCAGCATTTTAACTGGAGCCACGCGCGTGCCCGCCACGTGGCTTTCGTTGTCGATTTTTAACGCGCCTCCACCCATGTAATTTTTCCATCTCTCAGAAAAGGTCGTCAGTTTGTTTAAAAAGATAAGGTCAAAATTGTGTAATTTTGTTCTTTACTAATTAAACGATTGCTCAAACGAGCTAACATCACTATAACCGCCATAATTATAGCATGTTTATATATCCTACGTAAACTTTAACCGAATTTAAATATCCAGAATACGTTTCGACAGTTTAAACTTAACTGAACAGTAGGCTAAAACACTAACGTAAACGGGTAACGTAATGATTTTATCTGAGCGATAAACAGAATGGCGATTTGCATAAGAAGTGACCTGTGTGGTTTACGTCTAAAATTAAATTCAATTAAATAAGGTAAAGCTTTTAATCCTATCTTCATCTCAAAGTGAAAAAGTATATTAACTCTTCGTCAAGAAAAAAATAATCGCGCAATTTCGTTCGTGAAATTTAACATAGCCAGCAGCTATAGTGCACTAGTACCTCCCACATTTGGGTTCTACTACAGACCAATCCTCGTGCACAATGCATGTAGTGGGGGAAGGCACTGGGTAGGTTTGGGATTACCTTCAAGACTGGGGAGTAGCGAGGTCTCCGGGACCAAGGTAAAAATAAGGTAGGACATGTAATAATACTAAAACATTTTTCGATTTGTCATTTTCGGTGAAGACTTACGAATGTGCTGCACTAGAAAGCACTCGTCTTCGTTTCATGGTCCTAACGTTATACAATTTCACTGTATTGCAAGCGACCATTGGAGCTACACAAAGACATACTGACAAAGGCAACCAGTCTTAATACAACGAGAACAAAGATCTGACTTATAAAAAAGTGTTTACCTACTGAATTGCCATTATTTACAAAACCTGTTATGCACCGCATGTTAGCTGTTTACCTCGTTAGGTTGAACCGACTTGCAAACTTAAAACTATACAATGCTAATAAAGATTCCAGCTTCGTTAGCGTTAACCAATTGTTTGAAAACGTTAAAACAGACAAAATCGCTGATAAGATTATAAAATAATCGCATGTTAAATACTACTACATCATAGTGATAATGTCATCCCACACATATACCAAGCGCTAAAGGCTAAATGTATGCTATGTGTTTTATATCATGTGTTGACTTCAAGCTTTTAACGTTACTTTAGATGTCGTTAGCAGACTGAAGTGTATTGTCTATCAATTTGTCGACACCGTTGAAACCTGTAAAAGTGAAAGCTATTTTTTAAGTGTGCCTCATTCGCGGCAAAAATTACCCCGCGAGATTTTCGTGACCTGGTAGGAGTTGTTTAACTCAACACTTACGCAAGAGTGAGGCTGTAGTCTTTTTAGTTTCGCGGAAATTCAGTCTGCTGCCTGGTTACTCTTAGGAAACAAACCATCACTAAAGCACTAACGTTACATGATTTTCCCAAGTACGATGCGATCCTGGATTAACACCCGTGTTGGTCCTGGAACATCATTTTTGTTCGAAAATGTATGTAATACATATTTATTCCCCACCCCTAAACCCAACCATAACTGGAAATGATTTCCAAAATCAGAGGGGAATATTAGTTGGATAACAATCATGTAGAACAGAATAAACGTTTAAACTTGAACTTAACATAAATGGTAAACATATCTCTTAATTATGTTTTGCTGACTGGAATGTTGTTCCAGGATCAACATAAATGTGAATCCAGAAACATGTCCTTCATGATGAAATCAGGTTGACGATAAGTAAACAATGTTGCTTTAAGATCAAAATATGCTAACACATACATACAGGCGTTTCTTTACTATACAATCTTATCTGGTTGATAGTTGGCATAGTATAATCTAGTTGGTCTACTCTTTCAGTAAACATAGGATTGCAATATGTATGTCACATGCTTTACACAATAATATAATTTTATATACTTCACAAGTTTTTGAGATTACCAAGCATATACTGTAAGAATAACTTTAATTCTCATTCAGCATTAAAAAGTAGATTCAATGTCATTTTTATCCTCATACACTATCTCTATCCTGGGTCTAATGTCTGATTTCATCATAAGAAACTTAGCATGATCTCAAACAAACGTCTTTACTGCTATAATGCATGTCCCCTAAAAAAAGCCAATAAATATGCTAAAATAAATAAAGGATTACATTGCATGCTGATCATCATCCACATAATGGCAAGTTGACATCTTTTTCATAGCTATGAGCTGGATCATATAGCCTTTTCTGTCTTTGTTTAGTTTTGTTTTTTGTGCACACAAAAGTCAGCTGCCTGATCTTGCTTTGTTTGTGGTTATGATCTATTGTCTCTGGGTATTGCTGACATGCATTATTCTTTTCCCTATGAAAGCAGAAGATGGCTACAAATGTTAGTCTGGAACCTAACAATCCTGATGACAAGTGCAGTCGCTATGAGGTTTTGGGTTGGATCAACGAAACACTACAGACTAATTTTACTCAAGTGGAGCAATGTCGTTCAGGTACTGTTTACATTTTATTCTGTTGTCTACATATTGAGAAAATCTCTAAGATGAGTTTAAGAGAAAATAATTCTGTTTTGTCTTGTTTTTAGGTGCATGTTTTTGCCAGCTTATAGACCTGCTATTTCCAGGGACCATCAACTTGAAGAAAGTAAAATTTGAGTCGCAAAAGAGGTCTGATTTTATGCAGAACTACGGTCTTCTTCAGGCAGCTTTTCGGGATTTAGAAGTGACAGAGGTTAGATTCACCCTAATGAGTTTTGTTAATCTCTTTGTTGCATAAAAATTGTAAATGTTATAACATTGTTATAAGTAAAAATAAACATATTTACATTTTTTACACTTAAGATCTTTGCACACTGAAGTCTGAAATGTTCATGTGCGTTTTTTTTTCGTGTTTATATGTGTAAAAATTTGTCATGTAAACAAACCTTGCACACTAAGTTCTATGCGTAGTAATTAATCCATTATGAGAAAATGCAAAACATTTTAGAGTCAGTTCAAGCAGTGATACTTTGTTCTGCTTTCTTGTCCAAAGTAGAAAAAGGGTGCTTTCACATCTGTAGTTCGGTTCATTTGTTCCGGACCAAGGACAACAAATGATACATTGTATCATTTTCTGCTATCGTTGGGTCCTTTTCACCCCACACTAATTGCTTTGGTCCGAACCCTTTGAAAAGAACAAAAATGCAGTCATCTGACAAAACCCACATCACTCATTGGCCAGATGTTATTGAACATATTTCCTAAACTGCTTATCGATTGGTCAGAATATTACTAAACTGCGACATGGTCATTTTCTGGAAATATTACCAACGGTCTATCAGCTAATGTTTTTCCCTTTCTCTCTCTGTTTAAAATTGTTGGTAAAGCGCTGTCAACAAATATATATCCTCCACATCCCATAATGCACAGCGCATCGGCCTACGGCAGCTTGATTAGTCCAAAAAAGTGCAGTACTTTTTGCGGTTGGGTCTGTTTTAATTTGTATCATATTCTCACCACTAGCGAACTGCTCCAGGGTTTGTTTGAAAGCGTACTCCTCTTCAAGGAGGTCTCAGTACACTTTTTTGGTCCGCACTCGAGTGGGATTGTTACATTCACACTTGCCCAAACGAACCGCACCAAGAGGAAAAACGAACTCTAGTGCGACTTAACCTAACCAAATAAGGCAGGTGTGAAGCACCCAAAGAAAGAGGAATAGGCTGCATATTGTGTTCATCTAATACTGCACAGAGGAAGCAGAGCATAGTTCACTATCAAAGAGCTGCTGTGGCTTATCCCAAAATGCAAAGTTTATTTCAGGAAATCACAGGAATTTTTAATTTTTTTTATATTATTTTTATTTATTTATTTTTTTAATTTAAAGATTTACAATGACAGAACAGTGGTATAGGTGTCTCATGTCATCATATACAATAATATAGCAATCTATTATACAATTGTCCATCTGCTAATAATTCAAGTCTTTTGTGAAGGGTAAAATTAACAAAAAATTAATAAATTAAAATAAAAATTAAATAAAGATCAAGATACATTCTCCAAAAACTCCCATAGAGGATTCCAGATATGCCAGAAATCATCAGATTTCTGACGCAAGTCACAAGTCAGTTTTTCCAAGGGTAAGAAAATGGCAACCTGATTTATCCACATATTGACAAAAGGAATGTCAGGAGAGGACCACAGCAAAAGAATACATTTTCTTGCAAGATATGTACAAAAGTGTAACAGATTCTAGTCCATGACTAAGTTGTAGAGCAGTTTTACAATTCAGAAGATAAACAGCTGGAGAAAGAGCAAAAGGTTTACCTATAATCTTCTGAACTAATTTGTGAATTTTTGTCCAGTATGTCTTAATCATGTCACAGTCCCAGAATACATGCATCACAGTACCAACATTGGATTTGCACTTAAAACAACACTGAGAAACATTAGGGAATATCTTAATATTATCTTTAAACGAACTGGCGTTAAATAAGTTCTGTAAAAGAATTAAAAATTTTGCTCATGGTTTGATATTGTGGCCCCTTTAAATCACAGGAATTTTAATACATTTAAATGTTTGGACACACACATACATGCACAACAAACAGCAGCAGAGGTACATCAGTCACTGAATCCAGCATAGGGGATCTCAGCTGTCTGCCACATTCTGTCTTTTTTTATGCAGTGTCATTAGGTTGTCTGTAGCTTAAATTATGGTTTTTCTGTTTCTTTTCACTTGTACAGTGGTTCAGAACTGTCAAAACACCTGTCAGATTGCTTTTTGGATGCAAAAAGTTAAATAAATTTAATCCGGTCTGAATTTTTTTTATGACGGGTGAATGTTTCGGAGACAGTGTGTCAGTGTGATTGACACAATGTGAGGTTGAATTAATTTTTTACATACAAAATTTATGGAGAAATATTTTGGATTCAGTGTGCAATAACCTTAACTTACAATTTTTTATGTTGCTATCCTGTTTGGTCCTAGTGGATACAAATGCAGTAGAAATAGTACACTGAATATTTAAATATGGCTCTTTTCTTAGAAAATCTGAGAAGTATGTTGAAAATCAACTTATTAACTATTTTCATTTTCAATGTTTTTTATTCCTCTTTTAGCCAGTTCCTGTGAACGAGCTTCTCTCTGGGAAGTTTAGACCCAATTTCACCTATTTGAAGTGGTTTAAGAAATTTTTCTATGCCAATGTAAAGCAAGAGAGGGTGTACAATGCATTTGAAGCTCGTGATGGTCAAGAAATCGTGCCGGTAGATGATGTCATGAAGTCTCCAAAAGCCTTGAAAAGTTCATATGAATCTGGTAAGACTTAATTTTTTCAACTTTTTATTGTTTTATAATTTTTTTTTTTTTTTTTTGTGAATGATGAATTTAATTATTTGATTAAACTATACATAGGTCTGGGAAATCAGCTTGGCAGTGAAATGCAAACTCTAATGCCATTTGTTTTTCTTTTTATACAGGCAGAGCAGGAGAAGAGTCTGACATGGAAATAAATGGAGGGAGGCGTTCTGCAACTTATGATCCTAAGTGGCAAAGAAACTTGAAATGGATCAGAGCTAGCGATATGGGAGACAACTATGCTTACTGCACAACATGTGATTACAATATCATCCTACTTGCAGGTTTTCATGATCTGAAGCGCCACCAGCTGACTCAAAATCATATGAAACATGAGACAGGGAGAACAAATTTACCTGGGAGAAAGCAGATTGAAGAGTCTATTTCATGTAGTGAAACCATGCTGCTCTTTATTCAATCGCATTGTCTTTCCAGTTTACCCTCAAGGATCAACAGGGTCTCCCAACGCACTGCAAGATGCATCCTTGGTCTAAAGTATCCAAACGACATTGTTTCTGCTTGTAAGCTGAACCCGTACTGTATCTACATATATGGGCAGGTACCACTTGATGTGAAGACTGGAGACAAGACCAACTGTCATGTGGTACTTGCTGGATTTTTTGAGGAAAAACAAGCAAGATATTGTATTCGTTTCCTTGATGTCTTTCAGCCTGAAGACTCCGCTAGCTCTGTATCGGGAGGATTATTTAGCATACTAAAAAAGTTTGAAATTCCTGCAAGCAACATGGTAGCTGTTTATATTAATGACCACGAACTGACCTCAGAAAGTGTAGTGTCTCAGATCCGGGAGCTCAATCCACAGGTGATTGACCTTGGTGGACTTTACAGCATACCTGACACTGCCTGCAGTGCTGGCCTACAGACTCACTCTGTTCAGGTTCAGGAGCTTATTGCCAACATCTACAGACACTTCTCTACTGGTTCCACCAGCAATGACAACCTCAAGATGCTGTTTGCAGGTATTGATGGACTAAAAGTCCACAGCAATCCCCTCTCAAACAGTGAGGAGTTTTGCGTGCTTGTCAAAAGGATTCATGAAATGTGGAGCGATTTGGTCTCATACTTCTCTTCCTGTGATGAAAATAATGACAACGTTAAGCAAATTTGTTCACAATTGGAGAACCCTAAAATCAGGCTAACCTTGATGTTTCTTGATCAAGCTCTTGGTCCACTTCGTGCCTTTGGGCAGCACTTGCAGCAAAGCAAAAGCTCTGTTCGTGCTGATCTTGTGGAGATCCTTCGAGAAGCAAGTGGGCTTTTACGATCGTATGCCTCAAGCTTTCTCCGCCCTCAAGCGGTCATACGCTATCTGAAAGAACAAGATCCAGCCATCCTAGACAATGAAGCGTTTTGCCTTCCCGCAGCTGAGCTCAGTCTCGGTGGTGTGCTAGAAGACTTCATCTCTGCCAGAGAAGAGGAACTAGCGGATTTCCTTAGCACATTTTATAATGAATGTTTGGCGATCTACAAAACTCTTACTACCTCCATCGCCGCCAGTCTCCCTCTGAGTGATAGTGTCTTGAGGGCTATTTCACAGCTTCTTAGTCCGGCTGGACGATTAAAAGTCACAGGAAAGAATATAGTTGACCTTGCTGTACGATTTGGCTTCTGCTCTAAACCTGAGGATTCTGCAAAACTCAATGATGAGTTCTTGGAGTACCAGCTTGCTGAGGAAGAAAACTTGTCTTCAACTCATTCAATTGAGCGATACTGGTGTACTGTGCTCAAGACTTTTCCACCAACATCCGTCTTTAAGAGACTTGTCCTCTGTCTTTTGGTTTTGCCCAGTCCATCCCTTGATGCAACAAAGATCTTTGCTCAGGTATAGAGCGTTATTTATTTATAGTTCTGTTTTCCATCTGTTGTTCCATCGTTCGCTCCATATATCATACCAGTGGTTCCTTCTATCATTCTGTTTCTTGCTTCATCTTGCTTAAATCTTTCATTCTGTCATTCCATCTGTTGCTCCTTGTGCTGTTTATCTTTCTCAACACCTATCGTTTTATCTACCAGTCTCAATCAGTTTGTGTAAAATTAAAGTGCTTGTATTGCTCACAGGCTATTGAAAATGGCGATGCTGATCAGTTGGATGATAGTTCAAGTGAAAGCGACACAGATATGACAAAGGAGCTGGATTCCAATGATGACAACTCCTTAGATAACTCTGAACTTCAAATTTCACCCATCAAAAATGGGATAATGAAAAAATCCAGACGGAGCACATCAGGTAAGTTTTCTTTTTAGAAGAATGAAGCAGACAATCACAGGAGGAAAATTAGCATGAACACAATTTAATACGAGATTGATGTAAATCCTCAGTTCAGCAGCAGTTAAAATACCTGGGGAACAATCTGAGAAAAACGAATGAAAAATTGGGCTTGCACATTAGCAATGATGAGCATGTTTGAGGAGGAACCTAAAACCTTGAAAAGTCACTGGATTTTAGGTGCATGCTATTCAATTTTATATTCAAAGTTCTTTTGCTGCAGAAAAAGTGTGAATCAATGTCAGAGCAGGCTGACAATGGCGGAAAACTGTTCTTTATCATTCATCATTTCTAAATGTACTGATGATAGCATTTAGTGGGTGGTTCTTGGTCAAAATAAGCAGCATGGTGAACTTTGTGGTGACTGCTTAAGGTCCTGCTCTGCAGGACTAATATTGGGAGCAGCATAATCAAAGTTTTTAAAGCATATGAAGATCCTCTGACTTACTGGTTGTTAATATTAAGTTTTTGTTGTGTTCCTCAAATTACTTGATTCATTTTTTCAATAAATTGGCATGGATTTAATTTGCCATGGAATTGCAATTTAGTGCTATCATGTGATAAGTACAATAAAGTTGTTATTTTTATAGCAGTTAAAATTCTGTCCAGTCAGATCCAGCAGAGGCTGGTTAGATTGATGGAAACAATGTGTTGTTTTCCAGAGACGGTTCAACACTCAAATGCAGTGAAGCCTTGTGTGGTGCGACTGGAGAAGATCACCAGTCAGAGAGGTGTGAATGAAATGCTTAAGACCAGTTAAGAGGTTCTAGAGCAGCTATCAAATAATGCTTTACAATCTCAACTGCTTCTCTTGGTGTCGAACATCTTTTGGTGTTAACCTTTTTACTTTGCCTCCGCTCAAGAAAATGATTTATTGCATTGAAAATACTATTTTTATTTATTTATTTATTTTTTTTGTGGGGGAAGGCAATTTTAATTGTTGCTTTTTGTGTAGACACCACAATATACAGTAGATACATTTATTCCTGACTGTTCTTATCAGTTTAACTGTTTTATTTGGTTATGCTCTGCAGAAGTGAACCTGAAGAACGATGGAGCCAAAAATGATGGCACCTTGACTAGTAACACATTAAAGGAGGTAATATTATTATTTTTTACAAAAAAAGTATTCAGACTTGTTTTTAAGCAAGGAATTAGTCGTATTGTTATTATTTTATAGACTGATGCTTACTAAAGACGTATTGTATTCTTGAGATGACAAAGCAAAGTATAACTGATTAAATCAGCTTCACAGAAGACAAAGCACTGGCACACACATGCAAAACAACCATATCATCACACTCATCTCACTTGATGTAATATCTTTATAGAGTTTTGAAGCATCAAAACAATTAAAGTATAATGCAGCTTTTTCATTACAAATGTTCAATAAATAGGGCTGGGTGATTAATCGAAGTGTAACAGTCAGAACCTATAATCGATAAAAAAAATGTCCAGGTCCGTTTTTTCAATTACTTTCCCTACCCCGTGTGGACAACGCATAGCACAAGCTCTATGATTGGTCGGCTTGATGGCTTTGTCGAGTCCGGGTTTATAAAATTAAAAATAAATAGATGAATAAAAGAATCGTTCATTAATCATAATTGAGATAAAATGTTAAATTAATTGATATTTAGATTTTAGGCCCAATCGCCCAGCCCTATCTATAAATCTTTTTACTTGCCACTATTCTTCAAGCCACTTGGTTTTACTCATTTGCCAGTGAGAATAATTTTCATATGCGTACATTTATAGTTGAAGTCAGAATTATTAGCCCCCCTTTGCTTTTTATATTTCCCAAATTATGTTTTGACAAAGCTAGGAAATTTTTACAGTATGTTGATAATATTTTTTCTTCTGGAGAAACTCTTATTTGTTTTATTTTGTCTAGAATAAAAGCAGTTATTATTAAAAAAAACATTTTAATATCAAAATTATTATCCCCTTTAAGCTATATATTTTTTCGATAGTCTACAGAACAAACCATATACAATTATACAGTTATACAATAACTTGCCTAGTTAATCTAATTAACCTAGTTAAGCCTTTAAATGTCACTTTAAGCTGTATAGAAGTGTCTTGAAAAATATCTAGTAAAATATTATTTACTGTCATCATGGCAAAGATAAATAAATCAGTTATTAGAAATGAGTTATTAAAACTGTTATGTTTAGAAATGTGTTGAAAATCTGCTCTCCGTTAGAAATTAGAGGAAAAAAAATAAACGGGGACTAATAATTTAGGGGGACTCATCTGACTTCAACTGCATATACATACATATATGAATCATATTTTAAGCTGAATGGCAATGGAGAATTATATCACCAAATTTTGATACTTTCACAAAAGTTATTTGGAACATTGAAATGGTCACATTTAATTTGCGTTCTATAAAATCTCATTCATATAAATGAGATGTTTCACCTCTGAACCCTGTACTTTGGATCCTGATAGTGATTACTTCCTTGTAGGTGTCATGTGACCTGAGTGATAGCGTACTTGTATGTAATTTATATGCCTATGTATGGGTCTGTATAGGATTCTATTAGGGGAATACACGGTTGGGAGTGCAGTTTACGGCAGAAACCACAGGCTCGTACAGTCTTTCAGGCCGGTGCAGGTACCTGGAGCAAACCAGCGATTCAAGACGTGGACCGCAAACCAGAGGCGGTATGTACCTGCACAGGTCAAGATTCTGGCTTTATCGCAGGCGTCGAGTGTCCACTTCTTCGTGTCCTTTAGTCATTTATGCTCTCTGTGTTACATTGAGCCATTTTTATAAGCGATTTAATGCCGCTTCATGAATGTGTGCATGAGTCCTGTGGTTTCTTTTTTAGTTGCTAGATGAATCTTATGTTCCTCCTGTAGCTGTGTGTTGTTGTGTTTTTCCCCTGCAGTTTCATCGCTAACAATAGCCCCTTTCACACATACAGACCTTTCCGGAAAATTACCGGCAATTTTCCGGAAAGGTTGTATGTGTGAACAGGTCCTTTTTGAAAATACCGGTAATTTCGTTCTGGCTATTTTCCGGAAATAGAAGTTGTAACATTACCGGTAATTTGCCGGAATGCTGCGCTGTGTGAATGCAGAAGGAAGATTGTCGGAAAGAGCGCGTGCACGTCTAGAACGTGCTGACGTGAGACGTCTGCTTTAGCCAATCAGACGTCTGCTTTAGCCAGCCAGACACATTCACGTCCGCGCGAATTATTAGAATAAATGCCTTTGGATATTTTTCCAGACACATTTAGCTGCTAGATGTTAGTCAGATCACGTTTATATGTTCTTCTTAATGCCAACTGTGTAAATAATCATCGATAAGATGCTTCTGATAAGCCGCTGTTTGTTTACCTTCAAGCTTTGCGTGTGCCTGTGAAACAGCCGTGAACGCCTGCACACACATATTATGAACATCTCGACATGCGAAAGTGATCCTCCATATGTTTTCATCGAAGTTGTTCGCAATACTGATCCATCCACAGAGTTTGTAATGTAGTCAAATGTTTACAAATACAAGCACAGCCGTTTAAGGCTCATTTGTGGGGAATCATGTCAGAATTTACCGGTATTTTGGAATGGATGTGTGAACGGTCTTTTCTGGAAAATTTCCGTAACGTCCTCGCCTGTGTGAACAGCGCTTTTTTGAATATATTGGTAAGTTGTTCCGGAAATTTTCCAGATATTTACCGATATCACTGTGTGAAAGGGGCTATTAACTTCTGCTTCTTCATGGTGTTTAAATAGTTTCTTGTTTTTTGTTTTTTTTTGCTTTGCTGATTTAGAAAAGGCTTTTTGAAAACTTTATGAATAAATTGAAAACCATTGCACAGTGCTTCCCACACGTTGACTTTACTTGGGCGGGCCGCCCAGGTATTTTAAAGGCCGCCTAAGTATATTTGGTGGTGACACATGAATAATACTATTATTATCATCCTTTTACACTTTTTTTGTATATTTCCAATAAAGCCAAACATTCGCGATCGATTAACCAGTGGGAAATCTTCTCTCGCACTGCACGTTTCCTACTGCTGGTTCTGTGCGTGTGAAAACTGTCAACACTCCCACTGACAGTCACGGGGTCTGGAGACCCAAAAAGATGCGCCAAAATGCGTCCGACCTTAGTTTCTAAATCTCTTAAAATATCTGGGGTTCGGGTTTTACTTTCATTCTCCAAAGTTGCCTTTATTTATATGAGTTTTTGCTTTGCCTTTTCGCAGCTGACTGTAGAGAAACATTAAATAATTATCATTTTATAATCATTTAATAAACGACTTAAATAAACTTTACTATACACTCAGAGAGAACAAAATATACTGGCTGCAAAATATTTGTACACCCATAGAAATGGCTAATCAACTAATTTGCCTTATTTAAATAACCTACACCTTTTATTCTAGTAATTATTATCATTTTTAGCAATAATCTATATTTTTATTATTTTTCTTTGTTATTTATTTCTTATTTGCTGTATACTTTGTTAATTTAATGATGTTAATATATTAATTACTTTATACATATCTTAAATGCTGTAACGAGGAGACTGACATGGAGGGATCCATTATGCAGTATTTATTAGTCAAGCTTTCACTCAAACACACAGTATGCACTAAAGTGCAAACACACATCCACAACAGTCTATGAAGTATCAAGACTGGCAATGAACAGACACAGAGGGTTTTACCAGGCATGGGTCGTGGGCAGGCTGCAATATCAGAGTCCGTGTATCAGGCGTGGGTCGTGGGCAGGTAGCGAGTATCAGAGTCCGTGTATCAGGCGTGGGTCGTGGGCATGTAGCGAGTATCAGAGTCCGTGTATCAGGCGTGGGTCGTGGGCAGGCAGAAGGCGAAGCAGAGTCAGAAAACAGGCTGGAGTAATGCACGAAGAATCAGGCAGGGAATAACGCTCAGTAATGCTGGCCGGGGCTAAACAAGACTTCGCACTGACTGAGTGTTTGGAGCTGGCTTATAAAGGGTACGTGGGTCGTTAGCTTGATTCAGAACAGGTGTATGCACAATCAGCGTAGATGGATGATGTAATGCTAGAAGTCCGGAGATGGCGGCCTCTGCTGGCCAGCGAGGGGAATGACTGGGACCGAGTCGGTGACAAATGCTTTGGCAATACTGTAATGTCAAGCCAATAAAGCAACTTTAGAGAGAGAGAGAGAGAGATAGAGCAGCCTTTACCTGTTAGTGGGTGCACATGGCTCCTAAATAACATAAAAGTAAGAGAAATTGTGAATTTCTTTTATTTCAACAGCCTTTTTTAATTACGTTTACCCACTGAAAAGTTGTATAACAGTGTCATAATAAATAAAAATATGGTTTTTACACAATTTTTTGACCATTTATGTGCTGTGGGTAAAAGGTGTTTCAATCCGGCTACCAGCACAAGTATATTTCAAACCTGTGGGAAGCACTGTTGCAGCTTTACGCATGTGGTACTTATAAACTAACAAAAGGCAAATTGCTTGTGTATTTAAGGGATAGTTCACCCAAAAATGAACGATAACATCATTTTGGTGATTTGTTTTGCAAAATGTAGGAGGAATTAACTTATGTAAATACTCATAGTTTCTAGTATTCAATTTTTTCCATTGTATTTTTTTCAATATACTGTGGAATTTAAAAGAAAGCACAAAACTTTTACTCATCCACATTGTTGAAAAATTGATGATCATTACAAACAGAAATTAATACAGGTTTGTAAAGGTAGTAAAAGATAGCAGTTTTGTTTTTGGGTGAACTTTCATGAGGTAAGAAGATTATTTCAAGCACTTTAAGCTTCAACAAGACTTTCTCTATACAGCTTGCATACACACCGATTTGCTGGAGGCTTCATTAAACTGTGTGTTATGTATGTAAAATATGTGGTTTTTAATTTTTACTAGTTACTGTGTAGTGTGTGTCCTATGCCATGTTATTTTTGTCTCCCTAATGTATTTGTTTTTTTTTTAATTGAAGGTGAAGAATGATTTATCAAATTCCACACCGAGTCCCAGACGTGGAAAAAGAGATCAAGCGTACAATGTAAGTCTTCTAGCAGTCTCTCATTAATCTTTGTTATTTTAGGGTGTGTTTATCCGTAGACAGATTTAGTTTATTTAAAACAAACTGGTAAGATTTATATTTGTGTGGTATGACTTATGAAAACTATAAAACAAAAACAGGACAGCTTACAAGATCTAACCTAAAAACACATCATGTCTGTTTTGTTTTTTACAATGCTGCCTTTTATGGTTAATTGGATGAGTCAGAAATGCAAAATGGAGTTAGTGGCACATTTTAAATTAGGGCTGGGTTGATATACAATACCATTGTTCATCACCAATATACATCACGATGCTGAGCCGGCATGGCGATTCCCCACCCCCTTTGCAGCAGCAACCCACTCACGAAAAATACACACAGCCCCGGTTTTTGTTAATACTTCTTAGTTTTAAAATGGCATTTTAGAACAAAAACGATCCACGTCCACACTGGCGTTTCACCTAGCATTCTGAAAAGATCTCTCCATCCACATTATACCGCTGAGACTGCACATCACCAAACACACAAACTCTGTCATACTCTGCAGCGTCTGAGCTCCAGCTGTCAGCCCAGAGAGCAGTGAATGTCGGACAGTTTATTTACGATGTACTGCTGGATCGCCTCTCACTATAGTTGTCAAACAAGATATTTAATTAATCTTGTCTTAATCTTACGACTCTTTCGCCTTTTTAGATCTATCAAGTAACCTGCCACAGCCTCAGTACACTGCTTCAATCTTTTGCTTTCCCGCTTGTACTTAGTATTTTAACCGCGAAAACCTCAGATACTGTTGGTTGGTTTTTGTTGGTTGTGCCCCTTTTTTACCAACCGAGTTTGTCGGCGCCATTATAACAACACAGATCATATACAACTCTTTTCCTGCGAAAAAAGTGATTGACAGGTGGTAATTTGTGTGTAACTTATCTTTATTTATTTATCATTTGGTTATGGGTTAAACAAAGACCAAGCTGGTCAGGTAGTTGAAACGGGCTAAAAATAATATATTCATTATGAATAAATTAATTTTTCATAAATAATAAATTCACTGCCACCTACAACAATGATGCCATTGTCCATTGCAGTATTTCACATTAGACATTGTACGATGGCAAATTGGTCGACATCGCCCAATTTTAAACGTTTTTTTCCCACATTTTAAAAACTGATAGAAATACCACCACATTTCATAATACACACATTTCAGCATATTGCGGAATCTTGTTCAAAGTTTTATATAATCTTTTGTTTTTTAAATTAAATGTTCTAAAATGTTTTAGAAAACATTTAAAGTAGTATTCATCCTGGTTATACGTGTAACTTATTGATTGATATAATAAATAGTAATAATACATAGATGATCTGAATGTAGTATGCGGTACTGATTGTCTGTTTCTCTGTGCAGGATGGAAAAGGTTTTGCCGTTGGAGAGCTGGTTTGGGGTAAAGTCAAGGACTTCTCTTTGTGGCCTGGACTGGTGGTGCCATGGAAGGGCAGGATAGTTCCTGTGTCTATGAGGCGTGTAGAGTGGTTTGGAGATGGAATGTTTTCAGAGGTTAAGAGTCACTTTTGTTCTCCAGATTCTCATATTATTTTCCCAACATTGTTTAGTTCAGTGGTCTCAAACTCAATTCCTGGAGGGCCAACCAGCTCCAACTCACATCTGCTTAATAGTCAATAGTAGTCTTGAACACCTTGATTAGTTGGATCAGCTGTGTTTGAATAGGGTTGGAGCAAAACTGTGCAGAGCTGTGGCCCTCCAGGCATCCAGTTTGAAACCAATGATTTAAAGAATCCAGTTTTTCATTAAAACATGTTTTCATTGTCAATCTTAGATTCATACAGATGGACTTCTGCCCTTTGGTGCGTTTTCAAAGAATTTTTGTAGTAAATCCTATGAAGGTTTGCCTACCTACAAGAATGCCATCTACCAAATCCTAGAGGTACAGCGGAAATATTCTCTTTGAACCATTATTTTGCTAGGAATCAAGAACCTGTTCTAATTGTGTTGAGATTTTAATGTTTATGTGTAGCTGGCAGCAGAGCGCAGTGGTAAGTTGTTCCCCCCCTCTGAGAAGAAAGGCGAAGAGGTAAAAGCCATGATGGATTGGGCATTTGGAGGCTTCCAGCCCATGGGTGCTGATGGCTTTTTGCCTTCTGCAGGTACGTACAAAAGCTACAAATTATTTGTATTTAAAAAAAAATGTGAACAGTAGCATGTTGTCTGTCACAAAAATAGCATAATTGTCACATTGACCAAAGAATAAAGCCTATGCACAAAAAAACATCTGCATTTATGAACCTCTGTTTCCTCTGCTTTTCCATTTACAGATAGCTCTGCCAGTAATAAAACAGAGTCAGATTCCTCTGTGTCTGATTATCAGCCTCCAGCAAAGAGAAAGTATGTCTTCAAGAACAGACCATCAACTCAGGAGTGCAACAGAGGTCAGTTATATCAGGGGTTCCCAAACATTTCAGCCTACGACCCCCAAAATAACAATGCCAGTGACTTGCGACCCCACTATCTTATGTGTAATTATCTAAGCATTGGGTGCACAAGAATAGGCCTTTATAAACACGAGAATATTGACAACAGGTGTAACAATCTAACAACACTATAAATGTTTATAGTCATTTATTAATTAGTTCAATTTAATATTAGCTTCACGTAATGAGACTGGTGGGCACAATGTTTTCAGCTTAAGTCTATTTTTGGTTTATTTTGGAGACCGCCACTTGGAGATTATCCTCATTGTTCAGTTGTAGCCTGTGTTTTAGTGTTTGATTGCCATAAAGGTGTCAGAAAGTTTAACCTGGTGATATAAAATCAATCTGCTGCACTTGACGCTATTGCTGTGTTGTTAATCTAACGTTAACACACCAGTCCTATGAAAAAAAAATGAAAAGGCTGATTAGTGTTGTTCTTCTAATGTAACTATTAACTACTATTAACTTCTTCTGTGGGTTATGAATAAAATATGGTAATTCTAGTAGTTTAATCAAACTTATTTAAATTTTGGAAATCACCAAACGACCCCCTGTCATTTTCCCGCAACCCCCCAGGGGTACCCGACCCCCACTTTTGGAACCACTGATCTGCATATTGGTCAGAAGACGTCACATAAAGAGCATTAATCATGTTTTCATCTCATAAATCAGTGAGTTGTGTGTTATGCAGCTCTACACAAAACGTTTGGCCAACGGAGAAATTAGAATGGTCGTGCCCTACTGAGTCTGATTTCTCTCAAGGCTTTTTTTTCTTCACTTTCGCCAATCAGTGAAGTTTTTTTCACTCTTCGCTGTCGCCTCTCGCTTGCATGATTTGGGATTGGTAGAGCTATGAATGAATCGGTAGAGCATCGATAAATTTGCTTTTCAGTGTTTGGACTCTCAGTAGTGATCTTAAACCACACTGAACTAAGCAAAACTGAACTGAACTTAAACACTAAAAACTGAACTACACTGTTCCAATATACTATGAGCATTTATGTGAAGCTGCTTTGAGACAATCTACACTGTAAAAGCTCTATACAAATAAAGCTGAATTGAATTGAATTATTGAGGTGTACACTTATTATTTTGTGTTTTGTTTTTGTCAGATCAAATGGTTCAAGAGGTTACCAGTAAAGGCAGAAAAATTGAAGGTGAGCACTTATTTTATTACTTTACTTATTTTCTTTTTAAATTAGTCATTTTAGCTTGTTAACTGTTCAATAATTGATTTTCCCCTTGCTGGGTCAACTGAGTTTTACATTATTTTGTATCCATTTTTTTTCCTATTCTTTTATATACTTTTATTCAAAGCGACTTAAAAGAATAGAATGGAGCCAAATATGTGTTAAAGCCCAGAACTTGTCAATTAATGCTACATTTAAAATGATCCAATATATCTGGACAATGCATACTTATATCACACCTGCAAAACCTAAACCAAGTTTAACTCAGACTAGGGCTGCTCAATTTTGGAAAAAATCATAATCACGATTATTTTGGTCATAATTGTAATCATGATTATTCAAAAGGCACACTTAGACGAGCAGAGGAGCGCAGACATCTAAAGTCATCTTAACGTGAGCGCTTTAATGGTCAAATAGGTGTCAAAACACGATGTTTAGTGATTATTCATATTAACCCTTATTTGTGTAATAAACAAACGAGTTGAGGATTAAAAGACATGTGAAAGAGTAACCATTAAAGAGACAGCGCACTATTCTTGCTGCCGCCTGTTTTTATCATTATTAAACAAAACGAGAAAATCCCTCTCTGCTCTTGACTGAAGTATTATTTTAGCTAAAGTGTTTTTCTTACAGTGAAGATGCTTATAGCACAGTTTGTTTCATATTTTTATTCTATTGTATTTATTTCTCTTTCCTTTGCAGGGTGGAAAATAATGTATACAGTTGAAGTCAGAATTATTAGCCCTCCTGAATATTAGCAACCCTTTTCCTCTCCAATTTCTGTTTAATGAAAATAAGTTTTTTTTTAACCTTTTTCTGAACATAATAGTTTTGATATCTCATTTCTAATTACTGATTTCTTTTATCTTTGCTATGATGACAGTAAATAATATTCAAATATATTTTTCAAAATACAAGCATATTCAAGATATTTTTCAAAATACAAGCATTTAGATTCGTGACATTCAAAGGCTTCACTAGAGTAATTAGGCAAGTCATTGTATAACAGTAGTTTCTTCTGCAGACAATCAAAAATATATTGCATAAGGAGGCTAACAATATTGACCTTAAAATGGGTTTCAAAATATTTAAACCTGCTTTTATTCTAGCTAAAATAAAACAAATAAGCCTAGAAAAAAAAAATATTGTAGGAAATACTGTTAAAATTCCTTGCTCTGTTAAACATAATTTTGGAAATATTTATTTAAAAAAAAATTCTCAGGAGAGCTAATAATTTTGACTTTAACTGATAATCGTTTTAAATAATCGTGATTACAATTATGAACAAAATAATTGTGATTATGATTTTTTCCAAAATCGAGCAGCCCTAATTGATATGTGTACATGTATATTTTTGTATGTGAAGTACAGTATATGGTTCTGTTTTAGCCCATGTATGACAATATACCTGTTGGAACTAAATTTGTATGTGAAAAATGTTTTTAAAAAGTGTAACTTCATGTTAAATTCAAGTGTTTTTTTCTACTATAAAAAGTGTTTAATAATTGTGGAGATTTGGAGTAATCAAAGCAATAGAAACAACAACATGCCAGTTAGTTAAATGTGGTACACTAACATATTTTTGCCTTTATGAGATGCTTATTGTTTTGTGTAATTCATCATAAAGAATGTCTTTTCTCATGGCTCTTTCTCTAGATTTCTGTCTATCCTGTGGAAGCAGCAACACTGAAATATTCCATCCTCTCTTTAAAGGAAGCCTTTGTATTAAATGCAAGGTATGAAGCAAATCTTTTTCTGTTTAGTAATAAGGAAAACATTACACTGTTGGTCATCTTGTGTTATTTTTCTCTGTGTGATTGTGCAGGAGAACTTCACAGAGACGCTGTACAGATATGATGATGATGGCTATCAGTCCTACTGCACTGTGTGCTGCGCTGGACTAGAGGTCATTCTCTGTGGAAATGCCAGCTGCTGCAGGTTTGGAAACATGCTCATTTAAACATTATTCCTGTATGTCATGATAACCAGTCAAATATGATGTTTCAATAATTGTTTTCCCTCTCTCTTCAGGTGCTTCTGTAAAGACTGTTTGAATGTCTTGGTTGGTCCGGGAACGTTTGATAAGCTGAAGGAGGTTGACCCATGGAGCTGCTACGTTTGCCTGCCATCGAAGTGCTACGGCGTGCTCAAGCTGAGGACTGACTGGAGTGTTCGTGTGCAGGAGTTTTTCGCCAATAACAGTGCCTTCGAATTCGTGAGTGTTTGTTTAATGTAGTTGATTGATTTAAAACGAGAGAACTGACCCCGACTTGACCCTAAACAACTGTTTCTCTTTTTGACATGTGATGTTATAAAATAAAATAATGTATTAATAAAAAATTAATTAAATGATTTTTCAGGAGCCGCACAGAGTGTATCCTTCTATTCCAGCTCATAAGCGCCGTCCAATCAGAGTCCTCTCACTGTTTGATGGAATTGCTACAGGTCTGTTCACTTTTCAATTTGTGTATTCTGCAGCCGAAAGGTTTGATGTGACAGAAAAGGGAGGAAATATTGACAGAATTTTAGTTTTTGGTTGAATTTTCCATTTAAATCTGCTTAATTTAAAGGAAATACTAAATGGATGTGGCACATTTTTTAATTAATCATGGAAAACCCACTATAATTGTTTATTCTCCTTCAGGCTATCTGGTTTTGAAAGATCTAGGCTTTAAGTTGGAGCGCTACATTGCCTCTGAGATCTGTGAAGACTCCATTGCTGTTGGGATGGTCAAACATGAGGGCAAGATTGAATATGTGAAGGACGTGCGCACCATCACTAGGAAACATGTGCGTATAGAGCATTATTGCATATTTTTAAAACTATTTTACATTGTTTATGTGTATAAATTTTAACAGTTAACCAAATTTGAATGACTGAACATCTATATTGTTACATACAATGTTTTTCATATTTGTTTTTATGAGCATTTTGGATAGGCGTAAAAAAAAAAAGTATAAATTCTGAAAATTTGCATCAAAAAACATATGTGCATAACTGAGTAGGATAAACTTTTTATTAGATCAAAAAAGATGCGTATAAACTGAGATGGAAACACTTTTACTGCACAAACTCCATTATGCGCATTAAAGATCATGTGATTTTGTTATAAGAGATCATGTGATGATAAAAATGTGTGTAAATTGACAAACCAGCAGACTGGGCACACTGTAAAGCATCTGAAATGTTGTTTTGGTCATTCTAAAACGCCTTAACCATTCCAGTATTAGTGTTACTATAATTATTAATTACCTCCTGAATCAAGAGTGTCTGTTTTCCACGTCTGACACCTTCAAACACCACTGCGCAATCATTGCGTGTTAGGATTACCTTCTGGGGTGCAAGTCATTTATTAAATAATGAAAAGATTCAGGCAGCTTCCCCTACCGCAGCAAATTCTGTTTTTACAGTTGGTATTTGGTGCCAGATAATCAGGAAGTGACGATTTTGTTTGCTTTGACTCGTTGGATGGAAACGCTGCTTTATTCGCACGTCATTTAGGCGACAATCCAGTTTTGCGCATACATTTAATTAGCATTTTTGGAAGGAAACATAGCTACAGTTAAACAATTGATGATCATTTTTGCAGCTGGCAGAATGGGGGCCATTTGACCTTCTGATTGGTGGAAGTCCTTGTAATGACTTGTCCATGGTGAATCCAGCCAGAAAAGGTCTTTTTGGTAAGACATTTGTTTTTTTATTCCGTGTTTATGCTACATATTTAATAGATTTGAGATAGCTCTTTGGTATTTTTGTATTAAGAAGAATTGTATAATGAAATTACAAAAGAGTTATATTTTGAAATTTCTCTTGTATTCTTTCAGAAGGCACAGGCCGGCTCTTCTTTGAATATTATCGCATGTTAACCATGATGAGGCCAAAAGAGGATGACGATCGACCCTTTTTCTGGCTTTTTGAGAATGTAGTAGCTATGAGTGCCCATGACAAGGCTGATATCTGCCGTTTCTTGGAGGTAAAAAAAAGAAAGTTGTTTTCTTTTCCTCTGGCTTGAGATGTGGTCAGATTTTTATGAACATTACTCATTTTTTGCATGCAAAAGGTGTATTGTCAGTAAAGCACATCACAAACTGAAGACACCTACAAACCTATTAAAATGCATGCAAAATCTGTAGAGAGATGTTTTCTGTGATTTACTTTCATATGAACGCATGCTATGTAGCAGGAGCATCCTCTTATTTTACTGAGATGATGATGTGTTGTCATGCATTTGTCTTTTTCCAGTGCAATCCTGTGATGATTGATGCTGTAAAAGTAAGCCCAGCCCACAGGGCACGTTACTTCTGGGGGAATTTACCTGGAATGAACCGGTATAAATGCACATACAAACATACACACATACCCATAGACATTAAACACATTTTAAAGCATGGAAATGTTCGTGTTCAGAAATAGATTAATGTGACTTTTATTTTGTGTTTTTAGACCTGTTGCGACTTCTCTCACTGACAATGTAGATCTGCAGGACTGCCTGGAATCTGGACGAACCGCAATGGTAAAATGTTCATTGTGTCTTCTGCCTGAGAAGTTAAGGTTTTGCTCACGAATGTAAGAGGAAAAATGCACAAAAACAAGTTTAATGTAGCTGCAGTTTACATTAGTCTTAGTCAGGAATCTAGAGCTATAAAACAAAGTTATGTAATAGAATGTCAGAGGTAATTGTTATACTCAGTTTCTTTCCTGTTAACAAAACCAATTAAACTCTATTTCTGTTTTCACTCTTTCATTAGTTCAGCAAAGTTCGCACCATCACCACCAAGTCCAATTCAATCAAACAAGGGAAGACGGGACCTCTGCCAGTCACTATGAACGGAAAAGAAGACTATCTTTGGTGCACCGAAATGGAGAAGTAAGATATTTATATAAATTTAACCTACAATCTAAAACATTTTTAAAATCCATATTACATTTGCAGTCAAACTCATTTGCTGATATTTAGGACCCCACTTGCCCATTCAATTGTTAACTATACATATAAAGAAAAATAAATTGGGATATTTATTAAATTTATTCATTGTATATTTAATTTATTCATTCTAACTACATGCCAACATTCTTTATCAAGCGATGAGTGCCTATGAACTTTCAAAACATGCTTTATTTATTTCATATTTACACATTGTTGTTTTTTTTCTTTTTCATAGAATTTTGCTTTTATTTTGATTTATGTGAACAAAGAAAAAGCAATGCCAGATAATGTGTGTAGATATACATGTAATAACCGATATACAGGTTGTTAAATAATAATATGAATAATAATGCCAGCAACAACAATAATTACAATAATAGGAAAAACTGAAGAATAAACGACAAAGACATACTGAAACAAATAATAAATAAATATATATATACACATATACACATGCACACACATATATACATACAGATAAAAATGTATCAAACCAAAAAAAAATAAAAAATACAAATCTGTATTTAAGATTAAGTAAGGTTAAAATTAAGCCAGTTAAAAATAAAGAAAATAAAAGAATAGTAATAGAAAAATTGATCAAGATATTCAAAACTGTGCCAAAAGACGTCTACGACAATGAAGAGGATGATGCCCAAACAGGGAACCTTAAACAAGTACTATGAAGAGAAAAGGGGAAAAAATTAATATATTAATTTAAAATAATAATAATAATAATAATAATAAATTATGGGACCTGGAACCAAAAGCTTTTTGATGTCTTCCTGATTCAAAATTAGTAAACCTTTAAGTTTTTTTCCAAAGTTTGTGCCTAAAGTCTGATTGTGTCCTCTCTTGCACCATGGATGCGAGCAGTGGACATTTCCAGATGCACAATATCAAAAAAAGTCAATGATGTTGATTAAGAGAATGTGGAGGCTTCAATCTTGTTGCAACTATTTTCTTGGCTGCTGTCAAGCCAGCTAAAAACACTCGCTTCTGAGATTTGTTAAGCTGGATACCAGAAAAATCATTTAAAATGAAAATACAGGGGGCAAGAGTGACTGCATAATTACACATTGTTAAAACAACAATTGGAAAAGTATTATAGACCATATATATATTTCAGACCCCTAGTTTGCATGCATGCAGTTTGCTATAAGAACAAAACTGAGTTTGTTCTATCGTGGCTTAACAAAATGGCTGAGTTTTCTTTTTGCTTGCACTTTCAGAATATTTGGCTTCCCAAAGCATTACACAGATGTGAATAATATGGGCCGAGGACAGAGGCAGAAGGTCCTAGGACGGTCCTGGAGCGTTCCTGTGATCCGACATCTCTTTGCACCTCTAAAGGATTACTTTGCTTGCGAGTGAAGCTGCTCTCTGGTCCAGATAACACTGGAGGTTCAACATCAAATCCCTCAGAAAAATGAATTTGATTGTTATTTTTAAAGCTTTCTGCAAATTCACAGAATATTTTTAACATTTCATTAGTTTCCAATATTGAGAACTTGTTTCAAAATCCTGGTCAGTGGTCCTTGGAATGCACAGACACTTTTGGATCTGATTTTTAAAGTCATAAGTACTGTTGTTTTTAACTGTAAACGTGGAGAAAAACACACGATTCTCCACCCCGCTACCTCAGTGCCATTCTGTGATTGGTTCTTTGTCTGGAGCAATGCCTATTTATAATTGAATGAATAAGTTAACTAGCTCTCTTTTATCTGAAATCATTTTAACCTCATGGTAGCATTTTATATCACTTTTCTACAGATATGTTCCTTGTTTAGGAATGTTATTTTATTAAATATTGCATTTTTTTTTTTTAATAATAATTGGTAGTACTAATGCTGTTTTATAATGTAGAATGTTTGGCCACCAGGACCACACTGAAAACACTTCCTGTTTAGGGTCATCTGAAAACAATATTAATATACATAGATGACTTGAATTTCAATTAAATGGATGATTTAATCCAAACAAATGAAAATTCTGTAATTTACTTACTCTTCACTTGTTTCAAAGCTTTTTAAGTTCATTTCTTTTGCTGAACACAAAGATATTTTGAAGAATGTTGTAAACTGACAGCCATTTTTTCAGATGTTGGATGTCAGTGGCGAATGGTGCCCAACATTTTTTCAAATAATTAATTTTGTGCTCATTAGAGAGAAAAAACTAGGTTTGGAACCTCCCGAAAGTAAGAAAACAGTTGGAGTGTTTTCATTTTTGGGTGAACTGTTCCTTTAAGACTGCAGCATTTTTTTTGTTTACCCCATTTGTTACCTGTGCGCACTTCCAATTTGCAACTTTTGGCTATTGGTCTAAAACTGTGGTCACTGCAGGACGCTTTTAATTTGTTTATTTTAGAATTTGTCATGATATATATTTAAGAGTAAGCCCCGGTGCTAAATTTTAAGGTTTTTTGTACAACATTATGCACACTGATCAAGAGCTTAACGTGAAACAAGTGCCTACAAGCGAGCAGGCTCTATTTTTGTGATAAACGCGTTGATTTTAACTGGCATGACTTGAGAATGAATTAAAAGGAATCATTTGAGCTACTTCGCATTTGTCTAGTGCAAGTATATGAGCATTTTGTCAACCCGTGTGGTGGAAGATGTCAGTTTGGAGCTTCAGAATGTGTGTGGTAATACTGTTTGTGTTCTGTAGTTGTGTGTTTAGCATGTGTGTTTTTAAGCCTTATGCAGATGGTGATTGTGTTCAAGGATAAAAAACTTCCAATTTTAGTGAGACACGGGCCAGCTTGAGATGAATGTGAGCTTTCGTGAAACATCAGTAACTGGATTCTGTGTCCCATTGAGATGTTTATGTGTTGTAGCAAAGCTTTAGAAAGTCCCAGAATCATCTTTTATCAATGTTAAATGTTATTAATGTGAAATGATGGTCTGTTTGTAATTTTGAGGTGCAGTATTGTCTCTTTCGGAAAAACTCCCTCAGGTCTCAACACCAGCAGGCCTCATTGGACTGGCATCTAATGTTACACTTGATTTTTTTTATTCAATACTTTGTGAACAGAATATACTATATATTTTTTACCCTTTAAATTGGCCTTAATATCTTTTTTCTGTTCTGTTTTCTTTCTGAAGGGGTCTTTAAAACCCTGTATTTTGGTGCTAAATGAATGCTTAATATTTCTGTAGGTATAGGATGGTTTTTAACTGATGAGTTACAAGACATAGATTTTGATATCTGAAATAATCTTTATCCCTAGCTTTAATATTCCGTGCTTGTACTAACATCACTGATGAAAAATAAATTGCACCAAACTCTTTTATTGACTGTCTTTTTATTGAAATGTCCATTGTATTAGCAAATAACTGTCAGATTTTTGCTTGTTATTAGATTGATCTATAATATTGTGCTTAGAAGCAAGAAATCAAATGCTTAAAAAAAAAAGATTATTACATATATAACGTTTGAAACTTTCTTTATACTTTATATTATCTTCATAGGATTTTAGTCATGCTTTTAATCATGTAAAATATACATTTTATTATGATCACTAAGCTAAATTTATTGTAATGCATTTTTTTAGACATACTGAAATAAAAGTCTGAAATAAAACTTATGGTTCACAAGGACTTTAATAGACTGATATTTTTGTTTATTTATTTTATTTACAATGCTTGAACAATAACAGGAAGGAACAAAAGACTGAGATAACAATCAATTTACATTCACAATCTTTCCATCCTTATTAATAACAATACAAAGTATATTTATTCATTCATTTTTTTTTTGGCTTAGTCCCTTTATTAATCTGGGGTTGGGACAGCGGAATGAACCGCCACAAAATTCATTAGAAATATACAAAACATTTAAATAACAAAAATTAACAAATAAAATAAATAATAAAGAAAAATACGTAGCAGGGGAGTCGAAGTTCTCAAAAATATGAATAATAGACAAATCTTTACATCGACTGTTCTCTAAAATACATAAGTGGTTAAATTTAGTGACTTTTATTTTGACGTGACTACTTTTATTTTGTTAGAAAGCGGTTTGATATAGTAGGTTGATGACTTTTATTTTGACATCTGGGGCTAGTTATCGAGCGTTTGCTGTGGTTTCAGGCTTGCTGCTGCTGCTGAAGCGGCGCTTTACGAACGACACGCCGGTGAAACGGAAGATCCCGGCAGAGCGCGGACTTTCATAATTAAATGTAAGAAGAAACATTGATTTAATAGGCTTTACACACTTTTTTTTGTTTTCACACGCCTTTTAATAGTAGTTTTGTTAATTTAAACGACGCGTTGTTTGTTTTATTGGTAGCGTAAACGTTATCGTTCAAAACTTCAGCGGATTAAAAAGCAACGGTTTTCCGTGACGCGTTAACTGTTTATATGAAGTTAAACAACACTAACAGACTAGTTTGACGCTCAAACCAGGGGTCATTCGGCATCTAACGTTAACAAAGTTCACAAAAAAGTAACTTGATTTTGTGGATACAAATATAAAACCAAACATTTTAATTGACATCAAGTAACATTCGGAAGTAAAAATTATGGTGGTGTAGGTTGAGGGTTAAAGGGTGTGAATGTATGTTTAAGGAAATGAGGCTTAACGCAATCTCTCTTCTCGTTCTCTTCTGCAACATCAGCGGAAAGAATATCTCTATCAGCTTTAAATCCTCGGTTTTGCCTCAGTCATGGCTGTGAACGTGTTCTCGACATCGGTGACAAGTGAAAACCTCAGCCGCCATGACATGCTCACATGGATAAACGAGTCTTTACAGATGAACCATGCCAAGATCGAGCAGCTGTGCACAGGTCAGTGAGCAGCTGTTTGGCCTCTTCCCTTCACACACTTTCAGCTTGAGCATCAATACATTACACACACGAGCATCAGTTCAGAGGTAATCACAAAGTCTATCTTTCATGTTATAATAGTGGGATGACATGAGTTTGTCATATGGGTTGTTAGTATATTAAAGAGATAGTTCACCAAAAAATAATCTCACATATTTACTGCCCCTCAAGTGATTCCAAACCTTTGAGTTTTTTGTTGTTGTTGTTGAACACAAATGCAGACACTTTAAAGAAAGCTGAAAATCTGTAACCATCAAATTCTATAATAGGTAATGCAAATGCCATGGAAGTTAAAGGTTACAGGCTTTCAACAATTTTTTAATTATTTTCAGTCTTAGTGAAGGGATGGACAATGATTGTAAGAATGAGAGAGGTTATTTTTGTTTTTGTTGGATGTTAAATGTGTAGTTATTTATTTATTGTTTGTTTTATTCGCTGATTCTGTTTTGTTCATGTCTTTTAAGGTGCTGCTTACTGTCACTTTATGGACATGCTGTTCCCATCGTGTCTTCCACTGAAGAAAGTCAAGTTCCAGGCCAAACTCGAGCACGAATACATCCATAACTTCAAACTCCTTCAAGCCAGTTTTAAAAAGATGGGTGTTAGTAAAGTATGTTAACCAGTTACATTTATTAACGCACACAGTTTTTGTTTTTGAAATTTTGCATTAAAAAGTTTTTCTTCACTTAAAAAATGTATATCATACACTTTTACCATGATTTACAGATAAATTAATGAAATCAGAAAAAAATCAGTGTAACAAGTAGATTATATAGCAGAAAATCTTGTCATGCATATTAAACCCAATGAATATTTTATAACGCATTAAAAGACTCTATTTAAATACTCTAACATATTAAATTACTCTATTTAAATACTCTAGTTTAACATATTAAAAGGCTCCATTTAAGGATCACAGTGGCAATAAAAATATTTATTATTTGTCCTTTTCAATCTTCAAAACACTAGGTTTTACACATTTATAGGCAAAAAGTATAAGCATTTACATTTAGACACTTGTATTTAACTATTCTATGTGTAAAATTCGACATGAACAGCAAAATAGGATTTCTTGGCATTGATTCATGTACTGCGTGTCTTGATTTTGGCTTGTTATTTTGAACTATCATCTGTCTCTTTGCAGATTATTCCTGTTGATAAGCTTGTGAAGGGCAAGTTTCAGGACAACTTTGAGTTTGTGCAGTGGTTTAAAAAGTTCTTCGATGCAAACTATGATGGGAAGGAATATGATCCGGTGGCCGCTCGACAGGGACAAGATATTCCAACCAATCAGAGTCCAGCAGCAGCAGCCACGGCTAACAAGGCAAGGAAACCTAGCTCGGGTAAGGAGGTCTCAATATAACTGCAGATTAACAAATCAGTCTTTATAGATTCAAATAACCTTTTTAAAAGTATGTTGGATTTGTCATTGTGGAAAGCTAGCTGTTCTAATGCTAACAGGTGCATGGCAGCTGCAGCTGCTATGGATTTAAGGCTAAAATATGTGGGTGTGACCCAGTCACGCACCCGTGGGCTAGTTCTACATGCTTTAGCTGCTTTTACATGTGTGAGAATAGCTGGAGCCTCACATTGCCTGTGCATGGATTTTTCTGTTTACTTCAGATACAGGCATCACACCTGCAGTCAAGCCAATGGCCCCTGTTGGTGAGATATAAGTTCTAGTGGTTTACATGACATGGTTTTAACTAAAAACAGAACACCACGTTCTGAGTGTCTGAAAACACAAATGGCTTTACGATTTCGATCTGTAGGCATATGGACGTGCTCAACATCAGCATTTCTGTAAAAAGTTGCATCGCGACCTATTGCCCTGGCATACATATTGTCGTTGATCATTTTGAGATTAGTACCATTTCCATTACAAATGTGAATTTTTTTTTTTAAATGTTAATGAAAAGCTGATGCAAATTGACAAACATTTCTAATGATCACTGTTATACATCTCTCAATTATCTCACGATAAGTCATCTTAAAAGTTAAGATGACAGATGCTGGTGAGTTTACGTATACATCTCAGCCATCATACTAGCCACTACATGGTTTTTCCTGGCTCAGAATTGGTCATTGGTGGTGGCTGATCAGCATGGTTATCCACAAAGAGAAAAGAGTAGCCTAGTACCCTTGTGATCCGCAAGTCAAATATTAACAATACATTTTAAAAAAAAAAATACAAAATAAAAACGGTTTGAAATTTGCTTATCTTATTTATTCATGAAAGAAAACAATCACTGCCAGAGCAGATAGTAAAATATTACAACTTATTTTACAAAATGGGGGATTCAGATAGATCAGCCTTTCTTTCGAGTTGTGTGCAGTAGATCCTCTTTTAGCGCTTGCTGCATCACGACCAACAGAGACCGTTTTATAACCACATTTATAGAATGTGTTAAAGAACAAGTGGCAGTTCAGGTTGCACAAATTGTAGAAAAATGCCAGCTGTTGTTATTGTGTGTAAACAAACAACATTTCATATAATTTAACGCTAGTCTGTTTTTAGTACATTGTCATGTAAACCTATCGTTATTTGATGCACATTGGTGGTATTTTCTCACAGTGTGGTGATACATTTCCAAATACTGCACTTTTCTAAAAACAAAACACTAAACAAAGAGACACAGATTGTTGGGTCTAGGGCTCTTATTGGTTTAATTTTCTATAAACATTTTTTTTATTTTTTAAAAATAAAACTATAAAACTGACCTTATCCTTAACAACAAATGAAATGTATCAGAATGTGATGGATCTCCTTATGTTGTTCAGCTCCACAGCGTTCAGCAGCAGCACCTAAATCTACAGCAAAAACATCTCCTGCGGCAACGAGAGGCACAGGCAGCGGTGATGAAGAAAAAGGCGCACTTACTCAGATGGTATGGCTTCAGCTCTTGTTGTTTTGAGCTTTGTTATTTAAATAGCTTGTTTAAAACACACTTTGTGTCCCAAATGACATTCTATGCACTTATAGACTGAACAGCGTAGTCTTTGAGTTTTCAAATGAAACTATTTAAAAGAAAAATTGTATTCAAAGACATTTAACAGTCGTTAAACTAGTGATCATCAAAGAAACGAATAGTGCCTGTTATGAGTACAACTACATTCACAATCAAGAGTCGTAATCATTCCAGTTGGGAATTTACCTTGCACAATTCAAAATTAAGTATTCCAACCTCAGCGCCAGATAGGTCCTAGTGTAGCTGCTATGTGTGCAAAACTGTGGAAAACATTCCACATTTTATCGGTTGAATAAGTAGCATTATCATCTAAGTATTTAAAGTGTACCTTTTTTAATATACTTTAGTGTAAATGCATTACTTGAAGGGCAGCTATGATAAAAATCATTGCCGCTTGGACAGAACTGTGTGTAGATATAGTGACCACAGTCATATTGGGGTGATATAAAGACAAAAAGTTTTTTTTGATTCCTGAGGTTAAAATCGTATTCAAATCCCTCCCATTTTGAGGGCCACTGCAACGTGACATAGGAGTGTTGTTTCTCTGCCCACCAAATTGATTGACAGCTGAGTATTTACGTGTCTCCAAAGTAAAGCATATAATCACATCAACAAGCCAGGACGTGTGCAAAGCAACTGCGATTAAAAAATCTCTTCAGCTCGCTGTAATCATCAATCATCATCAAATGTGATTGAGTTTTACGAGTTTAACGTTTTTAAAACAGTGCATGTTTGTAAATAATTACAGAAATGTTACTGTCTTCACTTTATCACCACAGCTGCATGTCAGTACAGTTCTTAAAGACGCTGCTTCAGTCCTGGTTTGTGGATGTTAAATCAGGTTAATTTTGTACATTAACATAACGGATAACCATACAGCAGTGGATATTAATGTAACACAGGTGCTGTGTATGTTTGGAGAAGTTGGATATTAATCTGGATATAATTACAATGGTGCATGTATGCCCTATACCACCTAGCTATATTAAAAAGCCATCTATTATAATGCACCTGTCTCAGTTTAGAAAGGAAACCCAAATCCACCCAAATTTTTATCAGTAGGAATTTATGAATATATGATGTAATCTACCAACTTATGCACCAGTGTATACAGATGGTTCAAAATCAGAGGGAAGAGTATTTGCTGCAGCAGTGATTGGTTCAGAGTGTTTCAGAAACAGTATTCCCGGACAAAGCTCGATATTCACAGCTGTAGTTTGTTCACTGTTTTTAGCTCTGGAACAAATGGAAAAAGAACAGCAACGCCAGTTTTTAATTTGCACAGATTCTATGTCCTGCTTACAAGCACTTGAATCTCTGAAAACTGATCATCCTATGATTTTTAGCATTATAGAAAAAGTGGACCTTTGAAAGACTAAAGACTTGGATATTATTTTTTGCTGGATACCTGGTCATATGGGATTTATTGGAAATGAACGTGCAGATAAAGCAGCTAAGGAAGCCCTACAGTTGGATATAACAGAATGTAATATTCCTGTGTCTGATATTAAACCTGTTTTAAATCTGTATATTAATGAGAAATGGCAAATGGAATGGCATGAATGTAGGAATAACAAATTGTATGAAGTGAATCCAGTTGTAAATGAAAGAAATAATTACCATTTTGAAAATAAACAAGATCCAGGTAGTAAATACGAGATGCAGAATCGGACACTCAACTTACCTACCCACTCAACATATTTGTGACTTGTGTAAGAATACTTTGACAAAACATATTTTAATAGTATGTGTATTTTTAAATGATGTTTTATTCTGGAAATATTTTAAGTGAAATGTTTGAAAAGGTGCCTTCTAGAGCACTTTTAGAATATTTATCTTTAATTAGACTAAAAGATTGTATATTCCTTCATGTCTGTCACTGTGCTGTATATCTGACACAGCAGAGGCGGAGACTGAAGCACACTCTGACAGGCACGTGGGAACAGTGGGCAGGGAGACTTAGCATTAAAGGCACAAGCAACAAAAACAGCCACATTGTGTTTAGAGTAGAAAATTCTAATGTTTTGAAAGCTATAATAAATATTCCAATGGGTGTTTAAGCTGTTACTTTATAGACACATTCTGGAGACACTAAAGACTTATCTTAATCTTGAAAAGGGGGTAAAACGTGCCCTTTTAAACTATTTATACAACAAAATGGTGTAAACAGGCTGCAATTGATTGATTTAATGTAGTTGAATGTATTTTATTTGAGTACATTGCTTTAAGAAGCTTCACAACATAAATTATGAAAATGCCATCATTGTTTTATATTACATGATTTAATTAGAATTTAAACTATTTGGTCAACTTGTAACGGTTGTTTTATAATTCTAGGTTTAATTCAGTATCCTTATATTGAATGTTTTACTGATTGTTGTTCTGTTCATCCGAGCAGATAAATGACTTGAAGGCCACCATTGCTGACATGGAAAAGGAAAGGGATTTCTACTTCGGCAAGTTGAGAAACATCGAGCTCATCTGTCAAGAGAAAGAGGGTGAGGGTGATCCAACACTGCAGAAGATCGTGGATATTCTGTACGCCACAGATGTAAGCCAATATCAGTATGTGTAAATAAGACTGACGTTAAACTTTCTTCATCCTGCTCAGTTCTGTTTTACTCCATCTTTCAACAGGAAGGGTTTGTAATCCCGGAAGATGAGGGTGGTGAACCAGAAGAGTTTTGACCAATCCATGGGGTGACCGTTTACATTTTTTATTATTAAAGACCCCGCTGGACACTCGAATGCACATACTGGCTTATTCCTGCTGTTCTGCTGCACTTGCCTTCAGTCCATCATTTTGGACTTTGACTTTTGAATGTCTTTTTATTCAGGGACGTTTCTATACCTTGAATTCTCAGCTTTTTTTATTGACCATCGAAACAAAACTATTTTTGTGAATGAAAAAATAAAGTACTTATCAAAGTCTGTTTCTATAAAGTAGTCCACTTAGAACTGAGTCCAACCTGCCAACAATGAAACCGACATGAGCAAGCCACTTTTATGAGTATAGGTTAGTGCATAACATTGCTGTTATTATCTAGTGTCTGATCTGCACATTTGACTGCTAGCTGACCATTTGGCAGCGACGCTCACTTCCTCTAATTAACTCTGAAGCAGGATGTGTGTCAATGGTTTGCATTTCCCTTTTATGAGCACATGAAGCAATGAGGAACCACTTGACAATAACAAGACGAAGAGCATATGTTTGAGCTGGTTGACGCCGCTTTCTACTTGTCTTTATCCACAAAGTCTTTAAGGGAATATTTTTGCAAAAACTGAAAATTTCATAATTGACCCCCAGGTCATCAGAGATTTGAGTTGTTGTTTTTTCCATAAAGGAAAGTTTTGGAGGAATATTTTTAATACATTTAATGCAAGTGAAGGCTCAGAGCAGACCATGTTTTATCATTGAAATCCATACTTAAGCAGCATACTTCCACCTTTACAATGTGCATAGGTCATGCAAGAGGCTGTGAACTGCTGTTTCATGAATGTGTTTGTAAAATTATTGTCATTTTTATTGAAAAATGACTGATCGTTTCATTGTATACTGTATGTTTTGTGGATTTCCTTAAAGCTGCCTCAATAGGGATTTTGGACCAACAAAAGTATTCTTTGATGAGCACTATTCACTTTTTTTTACTTAAAAGGATAGTTCACCCCAAAATGAAATCCTTCACTTGCTCCAAATCATTGTTTTGTATTCCGTTACACAAAAGATAATTGTTGGAAAAATCCAACCATTTACATCAATAAAACAAATGCGAAGAAAGTTGAAGGATACAGGTTTTGAACATTTTTCAAAATATACTAAACTAAGAAAAAAACTTTCATACATCTTGAATGGTCAAACGAGCCAAACGTTTTTATTTTGGCGTGAACCTTTTAAAGTTGTAGGTATCAGGCAGGTTTTGATGCTAAATCTTAAAGTAGCATGTATTATCTTACACGTATATCCACAGATCTGCTATTCATTAGTGTAAAATAATACAAAATGTTTTACTTTACAAGAGATAAACCAGTCCGCGTGTTATAATTTTGAGGCACAAGTTATTTTTCCCATGGTTTTGTTTTTCTGGGCATCTGAGAAACCGTGGGCTGGTCGTGGCAAGGCTTGATATCCAGCTTCTGGAGTCCGGGAACTTCCTCTCCCGCTTGAATCCTGCGGAAAACCTCTGGAAAAGAGAGAGACTGCGGCCCCTCTGCTTCTGCAGACTCCTGCACACCGACTGCGGCTTCATCCGGCTTTTCCATCGCTTAATTTACTTACTACCACAGCTCTGTGTTGGAGAATGAGAGGAAGTCTTTACTCACTTATCTAAGACTTAATTATTATATGTGATTCCCTGTTAATATAAATGACTTACTTATCAGGCTATCTTGAAAACTATGTGCATTTCAAATTAAACGAATAAGCACTTGTTTATTAAACGTAAGTAAATGTTATAAACATGAAAAGCTCCACACCGAAGCATGTTGTCCTAAAGTTTACAAAGTAACGTTGCATCTGTATCTAGACTTCCGTCTCCAGTCTGTTCTTCAGTGTTGGATTTTAAAATAAAAGTCCCTCAAATGCTCTGCTTTTTGCGTCCCAGCAAAACATTATAATAAGTAATAATGTGCCCTGTTAAGCTGATTTGTGTGATTGTGTTTTTTTTTCTTCATTTTATTGTATTGTGTTGATTTTATGGTGAAATACAGTATTTTTATGGGTCAACATTTATTTTTAAATAATCCTAATATATCTCCTAACTGTTAGTCAATAAGATAATTTTTTACGTATTTTTTTTAGGCAATAGACAAACATCCTATATTTAATTCCAGTTTTCATATATATATTTTTAATATATATATATATATATATATATATATATATATATATATATATATATATATATATATATATATATATATATATATATATATATATATGTATATATATGTATATATATATGTGTGTATATATATATATATATATATATATATATATATATATATATATATATAATATATATAATTATATATATTATAATTATAATAATAAATATATAATTATTTTCCAACCTTAATAATATAATGTGGATTCAATATAAAATATAAATTATTTAGAATATTTACATTATTCAAAATATTATGAAACATTATACAAATATCATACAAAATAACATGAAATATGCATTATCTAATACTGTTCAAATTATGTATATCTGTGATTTATGTCTGTTGCAGTGGCAGTCAAAAGCTTTCTCCTGTGATGTTCTTTATAAGTGAGAAACATATAGAGCGCTGTTTGCTACATATTTTATCGGTGAAGTACTATACAAAATTGTTTTTAAAAGTCCCATGTATATTTTCAAGGATTAAATCATTGTGAGATTATTTGCATACATTTTGAGATAGTCTGGACCTGTGAGAAGATGGACTTGGCCCTCTACACCTGCACTCTTTACCTGTGTAAGTCAATCATTGACTAGTGAGCTCAGAAAGACATGCATAGATAATAGGAAGCCACTTTCCTATAGATCTGGAGTAAGTATTGCTTATTTAAGTTCAGTTCTGTACTGCGGTTTATGCCACACCAGACTACAGATAAGTTTGTATTTACCTGTTTTGATTGAGATATTTAAAGAATCCCACTTAATGTCTTTGTGCTTCATGTTTTTCAGATTTCACTCAACAATGAGGAACCGTAACTGCACTTTAATGGGAGGTGGAATCCCTCTGTCATCTGAGTTCTTTAAAGGTAAGAAATTCAGCACACCATGATGAAAGATGCTCATAAATTAAGCATGTGTGTCTGCTGTTCTTCCAAGTTACACTATCTGAACCCCCGATAATGACAGGAATGGCAAAATATTGTAAAGTAAACTGTGTATGATTATTTGCGGTAAATAAACAACAAAGAACTTGCTCATCAGTCAACAACACACACAGAGCTGAGTTAGATGCTGCGAAAAGATTTTAAACATAAATGGGACATGAGATATTATTATAATTTTTTTTCTTTTTTTTTTCTCGCAGCAATACCTAAAATACCTGTACTAAGAACATTTTAGCCAGTCCTTCTTAAGGAGCATTTATTCCTCTGAGTAAATCCTTTTCTTATTATTTAAATGACCTTATCAAGTTAAAGAATCCTTAGAGAAATGGAGAAGTTTCACTGATGCTAAAGTTTCTCTGGAACCTTTGATGGCATATCGCTAGAACAGCTTTGAAAGTCTCAATCTTTACGTGCACCCTCTAGTCTTGGTTTAAGATGTCTTGACTTCATCACTGCAATGCACTTTGTAGCAAAGATTCTCTGTAATGGAAAAAAAAAGCTTTTTAGATTATTAAAACGTTCTTCTGAAATGGTTCTGTTTTCCTGCTGGCAGCTTCATTTATAGTTTTCTTTGATTCCTTGTAGTGATCAAGGATGATCTCTGGCTGTTCCTCCTCCCTGCTGTGTTTGCTGTGCTTCTGCTTGCTCTCTTTCTGGAGGAGATTGGCTTCTTTCTGCGTCATGTTCCCTCTCATCGACGTAAACGCCTCAGTTTGTGGATCCTGGGAGTTTATCCAGTAATGCATGACATGCTCAGTCAGTTCATTTCAAACCTTAGTTAACCTTTGCTGACGTTTCATTTTCTCGACAGGTTTTCGGAATGACGTCCATCATATCGCTATATGTTCCACGCTCATCATCTCTGTGCAATTTCATTGCATCTCTGTGAGTAACTTTCAACTTCCTGTGCTGGAGTAGTAATGCACAATATGGCCCAAATGGCCAGTCACATAAGTAATGGAAGTTGTGCATTTCTTGCCAGATATCACTCCATTACACTCCTGAAGTTTATGGGTCTTATCAAAAACTTCTTTGGTGGAAATACCCGCATGCTGGAGGCATTAGCAGGGGAGCAGGTGTCTCCAAACCCCTTCCCCTGCTGCTGCTGCTGCTGTCTTCCTCTGTTCGACATCAACAAGTACTTCATCACACATTCAAGTACAATAACTAGGTTGTCTTATCATAATGGAGAGATCTAAACCTACTTCTTTCATCAGGACTAGTGTGAGCTGGATGATGGCGGCTGTTCTTCAGCTCTCTGTGGTCAGAACAATCCTGTTCTTCCTCACTCTCGTCCTGTGGACTGATGAGCAATACGACTATGGGGATGTGAGTACAACACTATTTCTCTGAGCATACAAATGTTTTAATGAGGCCTACAGAGGAAAAAAAAAATCTTTCATTCGGCTAAATTAATTCAGCTGATATATTCAAGGTCCCATACATTATGTGCTTAGTTAAAAGGCATTTTCAGTTATAATTTGTCTACACTACATTTAGGTTTGAGGTCAGGTTTTTCTCCTATGTTTACTATAAAGCAGGGGTGCCCAAACTTTTTTCTTATGAAGGGCCAAAAACCAAACATAAATGAGGCTGGTGGTGGACTGAAGGTTAATATAGGTGCCGTGGGTGATTTCCTAATTTATTTACTATTATTTAAAAATGACTAGAAAACATTGCTTTATATTAACCAATACATATTTTTACATTACATAATAAAACTTTTACAGTAAAAACAAAAACAATCTAATTTATAACAGAATCACACTGCCTTTGCAGACAGTGCCTCGCTGATGTCTTCTGCATAGTTCTCTATCCGTCGAGTGACAGTATTCACATTTAAAAAAATCTGATTCATTCATTCATTTTCCTTCAGCTTAGTATCTATTTTAGTGGTCGCCCACAGCGGAATGATTTGCCAACTATTCCAACATATGTTTTACCCTTTCAGCCGCAACCCAGTACTGGGAAAAAATCGAGATGGGCTCTGGATGCAGAACTGGTGCAGTGCAATCTAAGCTGCATCCAATGCTTTTTAATGCGTTCATCTAACCCCACCCCTAAGCCTACCCCTCACAGTGACGTCACTCACTCCATTGAGTGCATTGTGTCTGTGATTGCATCGCTGAGTGATTCAATCTCAGCTTGTGTCATTAAGGCTTTATCCAGATACTACTGAAAAAATCCTTTACAACATTAAAAGATTTAATTTGTTTACTCTTTTGTAACTCAGCAATAAAACAAACTAACTAAAAACATTACATCAAATTAGAAACGGCGATCTGTGTTAAAGGCATTTACCCCAGCCCTCTCCATCATTCTTACTCTCTTAACAGATGAGATGGTGGGCCAAATCAAATCAAGATTACAATGGACCAACTTTGGCCCACGGGCCCTATTTGGGCATCTCTGCCTTAAAGGCTTCATGCATTTGATAAAACATATTCTGAAATGATATTACAAAAAAAACTAAAAACATTATCTTAAAATTTTTAAAAAGGTATGTTTTTCATGAGTCCCTGTATTTCCAATATGCTGATTTGGCTCTCAAGAAACATAGCTTATTAGGGTTAGTTGTTAGAATCGGCACTGTACTTTAGAAATTTGGTTTGCATTGGCTTATGTATTTATTACGAAACTGTGTCACTAATCTGCATGTCTTTCACAGGTGAATTCTGTGAATCTCAACATGTATGTCAATGCCATCATTGCCATATCCACTTTTCTGTCCTTTTATGGCTACTTGCTGTTTTATAAAGCTACAAAAAGGGCACTGCCTGGACATGGTCTTCGAGCCAAGTTTATTTGCATCATTGTTGTCCTGGTCCTTTGTGGACTTCAGAGTGGAGTTCTGGAGACCATGGGTGCGCTGAATGTCATCCCCTGCACTCCTCCCTTCTCTGACCTGTTTCGTTCTCAGTGTAAGAATCGCAAAATATTTGATTTCCTCAAGCATTTAGAGCTGAATGTTTTTTTTTATATGTGATTTTGTCTATTTTCCCCTTTCTCTAAGTAATCTACCACTACTCGATAATTGTGGAGATGTTCTGCATCAGCCTCTTTGCACATTATACATTTCGTAAAGTTGAACCATGTCAAGATGTGGCTGAAGAAATGGAAGTGGATGTTCTGAGAGTCTTCAATGAGAAATCAATTCAGACAGAAGAGGAGCTGCCAATTGCTGTGCAACTGTCCTCTCAAGAGGACGACGCATTCCATTCCAACCTGGGGTACAACAGCGACAGTGAAGACAGCAGCCTCTGTAAAATTGAACACGCACCACTGGACCGCTTTACTTTTCCCTCACAGCACAGAATGCAAACTGCAGCAAACACAGAGAAAGTACATACTCCACCACCAGAGGACTCCATGAGAGTGAAGATGCCGACCATTACTGTCAGTGCTCAAATTAACCATGTGGACAATGGCGATGTTACTGTTGTATAGAGGAAAAAGTGAATAAATAAATAAATAAATAAATAAATAAATATATATATATATATATATATATATATATATATATTGTTTTATAGTCCTGTATTTAATTTAAGTGTTGTATTATTATTTGAAACTAATACATTAGAAGGTGTGCACAAATGTTATTCAATTAATCTCACCATCACTACAAGAATAATTCTATAAGTGTTAGACCTATAATAGCTGTTAGCTCTTGTAGTTTGTTATTATTTGTACATTTAAATAATAAAAAAATGTAGATACAATATATAATGAGCTATTTGTCACTTTCCACACTGAATAAAATATAAAATAAAATAATAAAATGAAATAAATAAATAAAATACTGACAGCAATTCATCGACTTTCCCCCCACCTCATGTACGCTATCAGAGGGACTGACCAATGAGCGTTAGATATTGTTCTCCTGGCTACAGCTCAACCAATCATTAACGCGAATACCTTAACGCGGGCTTCCCTTCATTGAGAATCATAAACAATCCATCTAGCTTGAAGTGACGAAGCGAACATGGCGCGAGATCTAAAAGGTAAGATGTCTGTGCTTTCTTTAAGTTTTTACTAACTGTCCCTTTATACACGTCCCAAATAATTTGCCGCAAATAAACGGGCTGTTTTAAATAAATTGCATTGTTAATAGCATTACTAGTGTGCAGAAAGTGCTCATTACACATGAAACTTAAACGACATCATCGAGCCATGTTTATGTTCTTTAAGATTGCAGGGTGCCCTGTAAGCTTTTGTTGGAGGACCTTCAGGCTTTGTGCCGAAGAAAAAAACTAGTTTGCAAGCAGCTGAGTGTGACAAAGAACAACTTTAATGACTATGAAGTGGAGTATCTGTGTAACTACAAAAAACACAAGGTCAGATTATTATGCTTTTAAAGTATATCATGAACGGCTGTGGTGAGGTCAGAAATGTTAAAATAAGATGGACCTGCAGGGCATCTTAATCTAAAATGCAAAATTTTACATAATTTCTATGATGAGGTAAAACTTTTCACAGATAAAAATGGCATTAATATGTTTTAGTTTATCGTATTTTTGTTAGCATTGTCTCTACTAGCAAAGCTTTTGGGGATCTGGGATCCAATCGCATTGTTTTCTTGAACATATTCAACTGAATCTGAATCTCAGGTAAGGTTGTTTGGTAGATTTATTAAATAGAGACTAATTCGGGACAGATTTACTGCAAGAGAGCGCTTCTGTTGGATTGAGCTCTGGGCTGGGCGATTTGGCCCTAAAATAAAAATCTTGATTAACGTTAATTATTAATTTTTTTTGCCCTAATAAATCACTGACAAGTTTTGTACAGTAAATAGGCTCACATATTACAAGCGAGAGATTTTTGACTAAAGCATAATTGTTTTCAAATAATTGAAAGAAACACATTATCAACTATCTGTAATTATTTATTAAACATCAACATTGAACAGCTGAAATTAAAACACATATTGCCAAAAACAGTCACTTTTTTCTTATAAAAAGTGAAAATAAATGATTTGCACTTTCGCAAACAAAATATTTTATATTATTTTCATATTAAAAGTAGATAATAAGCAGTATCTCTTCCAAAAAAAATAAGTCTTGTATATCCTGTAAGTAATATTTTGAACAGTGCTCTTCTTAAATCTTTTGTAAACAAATAATTTAATGCAAATAATAATGTGATTACTATTGAAAATATGCCGTTTCAAGGCATCTCTGCAGCAGCTTCCAATCATTGTCAATATAGTGCATATGTGCAACGTGTAGTTACAATTTTTGAGAGGTGCGCAGGTATACGAAAGGCTGCGAACCATACACATGTGCTCAATGCAGAAGTATAAATCAGCCATAACAGAGTAAGGTCTCATGACTCCACATGCGATAAGGAAAGTAATTAAAAAAAATTGACCTGTAAAAATTAGATTGATTATAGGTTCTGAAAGTGGATTACGATTACTTTGAGTAATTTTCCCAGCCCTAGATTGAGCTCCATTGAGCTCCTAATCGACAGCTTTGGCAATTACCATTTTCCCTAAAATAGAAGCTCGGATATAGTAGATCTGGGCTCATCTCTTAGAATCTAACCATTTTGACTTAATCTACACAGACTTAATATAAAGAAATGTTCTTCCTTTCTTCAATACATTTTTGTCTCATTTAATTGGGTGGACTAGCTATCAATCTGATGGGGTCAGTGCCACCCTGGCCCTTTTGTAGCCTTGCTACTGGCCTCAGCTGTTTCTACTTATCCATATTTCATATCCCCAATTTATAAGATTTACCTCACAGTAACCTTTAGAAATATGCCTGTTCAGGGTCGAGAGTTCTTCCTGGTGAAGTGGAAAGGCTACGAGGAGTCAGAAAACACCTGGGAGCCTCTTAAAAACCTTAAATGCCCAATACTGTTACACCAGTTCCGAAAAGACATGAAGGCAGCTCTGCTTCAGGCCAACGAACCACTTGATTCTGCATCTTTGAGTGGCCCTATCATCTCCTTCCTTCGCCAAAAGGCCACACAGCGCATTAGGCTTAAAAAATGGGAAGACCTCATGAACCAGACCTGCTGGCACAAGGGCCGAATATTTGTCTCAAATGAGGTAGACATGGATGGACCTCCCAAAAACTTCACCTACATTAATGAGAATAAGTTAGGGAAAGGAGTAGATATGAATGCAGTAATAGTGGGCTGTGAGTGTGAAGACTGCGTCTCTCAGCCAGTTGATGGCTGCTGTCCAGGGCTGCTGAAGTTTCGGAGGGCATATAATGAGAGCAGGCGGGTGAAAGTGATGCCTGGTGTACCCATTTATGAGTGTAACTCCAAGTGCCGCTGTGGACCAGACTGTGCCAACAGGGTTGTGCAGAGAGGTATTCAGTATGACCTGTGCATTTTCAAAACAGACAATGGCAGAGGCTGGGGCGTGCGGACACTGCAGAGGATTAATAAAAACAGCTTTGTTATGGAGTATCTTGGAGAGGTAAGATGTTGAAGTCACCATTTATTTTTTCACTTAATATTGAGTGTTAAAGAGTGTTTAAACATCAATACATCTTTTTGAGCAAATCTTGATTCTATTAAAATTCATGTTATCTTAAAGTTATATTCCTTCTCTGACAACATCTCAGCCCAAGACCAAATGGCACCCACAACCCTTGAGGTCTTCCCCTTGAGTCCATATCTTCAAGTCAAAATGCACTTTGACTGTTAGTAGATGTCTGCTGTGTGCTCATCAAGGGTGGATTGAGGCTGTAAAGGAGACACTTTTGAGTACTCTTCACAAAGCTAAAATAATAAATAAGACCCTATACTATACACGCTGTCTGCTGGGTCTTAAAAAGTCTTTAATGCCAAAAATGAAATTTTAGGCCTTAAAAAGTCTTAAATTCACTGAAGTATTGTGTTGTAGGTCTTAAATCATTTTAAACCAGTCTTAATTTTGTTTTGGCAAAGTAAAGCTACTTAATCGAGCCGACATCCATCCAATAACCAACAGTACATCAACAAATTTTTTTTTTATATATATATATTTAATTTGTTTATATTACAAACAAACACAATTCACAACAGCTGTTGAACATTTTTACAGCAAATTGCCGAATTAAATTGTTTTTATTTTTTATAAAAAAATATTGAATATAAACTGAAAATAAACTAAATACCCAGCCATTATTAAACTTCCTTAGTCTTTAACCCTGTGTAAGTCTAACATTTCATTCTTAATAGTCTTTAAAGGGTCTTAAAAAGTCTTGAATTTGACTTGATGAAACTTGCAGAAACCCTGTATACAGTATTATGGGTTTAATAGAGATAAGCCCACAGTGGCCATAGTAAGGCCACAAGTGTGTATGTGAAGTGTGCCATTTGAGATTGTTTCCTCTTCTTTTATTTGATGATTTGATTGCTGGATTGAAGGCAGGTTCCTCTCATGAAATTAACCAATAGCAAAAGACAGTTCCTAATGAACAAAGTGAAGCTCCACTCTGTTTTTTTAATAGAAATGTCAAGATGCACATAGATTTTGAAAATCTGGATAAGAGCAATTACATGCAAATGTCAACCTTGCCATGAAAAAAAAAACATAAAAAAAAAAAAGCAAAAATCCCATTCTAAGTTTTTATTTTTTTGTGTAGGGTTTGTTTTACAGGATTGTAAAAATACTCAAAAATGTCTCTGTCAATGTTCTCAAACAATTATATTTGATTTACCAAAGTCACACAAGTGCCAATTTCACATCCGTCACATCCATAACCAAGCTTTTTCCCTCATAAATGCAAAATGTTAAATAAAATTAAATCAATCACTTTTTTTGTTCTATAGACAACTCTTATCCTTTTGATAAGCATTATTTCTTTTGGGTTGTACAGTTTAATTCACAGAATTTCTACAAAGTATGGTGTAGACTGTAAACTTGCATACTTTTTTCTTCACATCAAAACCGCATGTTTATTTTCCTCATGTAAAGTATAAAAAAATGTTAACAGATTGATTTTTTTATTTTTTTTTTATCGAATAACTCTGTGGTTAGTTGTTTTGGAAAATATCAGATAAATAACAGATGTTTCAATGTAATGTTAACATACGCTCTTTGTGATTTTATGTTTTTAGTTTTCACTGTAAATGTCACATCCATAAAGCTGGAATTGCTCATAAAATACTTATGGACATATTCACATCTGCTTCCATTCATGTGGTTTTGTTTTAACAGATGTTTTGATGATTAAAAAATTAGCACAATGGGATGGCATTAATGGACAGACCAACAATCTGAACACATCTGAAATGTTGTTTTGGTCATTCTAAAATCCCTTTTTCAAAGTTCATCATCAAATGGGTTCAGTATTATTACCTATCAGAAATGTGCTGCGCTCCCAAAGAGTGGTCTCATGTTTCCGAAAGCTTCCTTGATATTTGGTCTCCGTTTATGAGGAATGGACAATTTTGTTCTTTTTGATTCATTGTATTCGAATGCTTTATTTTCAAATGTTCTATGCGATAT